GAACTAATACTACATCAAGTACATGAACTAACCACATGTGGTTTCATTTCCAATTACTTACAGGTTAGGTTAAAAATAATTCAAAATATTCAATTCAAACTCATTATATTAAAAAGAAGGAAAAAGAATCTCCAAAAGATTATTTTCAGAAACTGCAAAGCACATGAGGTTCCGCTGTTCTTCACTAAAAGCAATTTTGCTGGCTTTTCCATCCATAAGCTGATGTTCATTTTCCTTGTGTGCAATTCCTTTCAAAGCTGTGCATCTAAAATAGATTCTACCTCATTGTCCCAGTTTCCTTTTGTTGTTGCCATTAGTCTATGTAACTTTTTCCATGTATTCAGGACTAATTTTCATTAATCTCAGAAGTTAAACAGCACAGGCTAATCTTTGTTGAGGGGAAAAGAAAGATGGGAAGAAGAGGAGAAGCTTAATAAGGACCAGCTCGAAAGAAATGCTATCCTTTCAGACAGATACCTCATTAAAACACTCTTCTTCCCCATCAAAACAAAACTTCTGCTAGGTCTAAAGATTAGGCTGCAGATAGTGGTTGTCATCCACAAAGTATAGCTTACAGTGACATTCCAGGTGCTGATCCTGACCTCTTTAAGCCACTACATTGAGGTTCAAGCCCTGAAATGAGTACCTAGAGAAAAAAAACAACACATAAGTCATTAGACGAACTTGGAAGAAATAAAGTAAATGTATAGATAGGATTAAATAACGGTATGAAATGGGTACAAAAGGAATTCAGGATGAAAGCTGGGGAGAGAAGCAGCCTTGGCTGCAGGCTGGCAGCCTGCAGAGCAGAGGCCTGGCAGGCAGGACTCCACGCACGGCCCTGCCTCGGGCACCGCTGCAGCGCGCCCAGCCCTGCCAAGAGCGCTCCTGCAGGCTGTGGAGCATCGCACCAAGGAACATGCTGGAAATCACTATGACTGGGAGTGTCCACTGCTGCTATAATTAACTGCTCAACACGCTAAATTTCGCTATTTCTGCAATTAAGGAAACGCTCAGCCGGTTTACACCGCCCCACTCTCCAGGCCTCTCAGGCGGACACGCAGCCGGCAGGTTGCAAACAGCAGCCAGGAAGGTCGGCACGTGCCTGAAAGAAATGCCTCTGACAACAAGCATTAAAACAGAGCAATAGATTTCAACAAGGACACGGCAGGCAACATTGCCACCTCTTAAAAGGCTGGTGCCTTTAGATGGAGCAATATTGCTGTGCTCATCACAGACCACAATAAATGGCTGAGCTGCAGCTCACAGCAGCTAGTTTTTAACCCTGTCAGCATGGACCTCGATCAAAACCACCACTGCCAGCAACAGCAGCCATGGCTACAGCTATTTAAGGAGCATTAGAAGATTAGGGAAAGAAAAATAAAAGGTACTAGTGGAATATATAGGAGCTCAATATTTACTATGTTAATTTCTCGCTGACAAACCTGTGAGACATCAACCAAGTGATCTGCACAGTGTGTATGAGGAAAGAAGTTACCAGAGCAAAACATAATGAGGTGAAGTTTGTCCTCTTCCCATCAAAATCTATTGCCAGCTGGTGTAAGTAGTCTGAGAACTAGTAGTCTGAGAACAGGACCTGGAGGTAGGAATTCCCCTCCTGACCCTGGATCTGAGACTCAGTGCAAAGAAAAACATCACCTCAGTTGCCTCACCTGTAAAACAAGGACAAAACCTCCCTAACACCGGTGTGTCGGTGATGGATCTGTCTGTTTGATCTACATTTGTTGCAAAATCAATTCTGGAAAGACAAGGATTGTAGTATGAAATAAATTCCAAACAACCCTACTACGCTGACTGTTGAGTAGGCTAAAAAATGGAAGTACTTTCTCTACAACTCCCACACTTACAGTATCAGAGCGGCACGGCACAACCTGTTAATATTAGACAGCAATAATATTTCTTTAACTCTGGCTTCTGTCAAAACTTAGTGATTTTTGTTATGGCACAAAAAAAGGCAGGAAAGACACCACTATTGATAAACCTATTTTATGTGCCTTCATTTTGCCTGAATTTGCCTGCTAGACTAAATATAGCTCGTGCTAATTCTTTCAATATTTAGAAACAAACAAACAAACAGCAAAGATATTATTTGTCCACACCAAACACTACCATTTGTGCCTGCTTGCTTCAGTGTAACTGCAGATTACTAAAGTTAAAAATAGCCATTTTCCATTAACTTAGACCTTCATGATAACAAGTAGTTTTGACAGTTTTTAAGCAGTTTGAGATAACATGCACAAGTAGGTCACAGTTATACTTGGCTTTAGAAAAATGTCTTTCATCCAGCGAATTTACAGCTCTTTACAAACAAGCCCTTAGGTAAGCAACAACCTATAAGGCTTACTCCAACACCCAAATTCAGTCATGTATGAACCCTAATAGCAGCTACTTAACAACAGCTGAAAGTATAATATGAAGACCTGTGCAAACTGCACAATAGAAAGCATGACTGACGTCAACGGCAGTGATCCCAACAGGCTGCAGAACAGGTCATGAGAGTGCCCTGGGAAGGGCTCCAACTTGACAGGGACATGGAAAAGGATTTTCAAAGTTTGCTTTAGTTTAGCTCCCGGTTCAATCGCCAGATTTCCAAAATGATTATTCGTTCACGCTTCTGGGAATACTCATCTATGCTACTTCATCTGGCATTTGGTCAGAACGTCAGCTAGAGCTGTACTATGAGGAAGGCTGCAAAGGAAGTTTAGAGACCTTATGCTTTGGTAACAGGGAGAGGTGAGGGACATTGCAAAGAACATCAACAACATAGTCTGTATGGGTTGGTAGAAAATAAAAGAGAATTTCAGAAAATTTATCATAAACCACAGGTCAGCCATTAGTCCTCACAACAATCCCCCTGGAAAAAAATATCTCCCATTATTTCCATTGTACAAGTAGGGAAGTATAAAACTCTTCACCCAGAGTTCCATTTACAGCAAAATTACATTATTTTGTACTATTTGCTATACTTTATGTATTGATTCACAATCTACCATTATGTCTTTGGCTATACGGCACTTCTGCTTAAATAACAACAAGGAACTAGAGCAGAAGAGTTCAAAGGGATGGTTCAAAACACAGAGGTCCTGATGGATTTCAGGAGTTTCTTCCATCATCTGTTGCAGTCAGTTCACTAGACCATGCTGCCTCCTGGAGCAAAAGAGACGAATAAAGAGAGCTGCACAAATTGAACACTGATGATATTGTGATATGTTTTACTATGCCTTGAGTATCTTCTGCAGTTTAGTAATAAAAATGGCACAGGTAAATCTTTACCTCTTTGGCTATTCTTGGTATGCCTGGTGTACAAACAGCAAGTAGACAGCTCCAGACCTGATGCATTCAGAATAATAATGATCACCTTTTGGACAGCTAACACTACATAAAATATTAACAGTCAACATTCGCTGAACACTCAGACCCTAACGATACCGAGGTTTTAATGAGACTCCTTATGCATGAGGTAATCTGCCAGCATGAAGCAAAGGGTCCTGATCCAACACTCAGACAAAGCCCTGATCCCATAAATACATATTTCTTATCTGAGCTACATGCTCAGGAGTAACCTCATTAAGATCCATCATGCCACATTAAGTGTCTACAAGTAAGCTCATACATAACATTTTATCAGTAGTAACGTTTAGAACAGTTGACAATACAAATGTTCTGTACCAGCCTCACACACAAACAGCCTTTGGTCAGCACCAAGCAACTCTACTATGTACTCCTACAGACATGTTTATTTTCCAACTAAGTCCATCTGTTAACATTGAAAAGCAGAAATCAATAGAAATTAATGTCTTAATCTCTTTTATGAATATTATTTGTTGCATCTCTAAACTCCTGTGAGGTCCCTGTCCCTCCAATTAATTGCTCTGAAAAAACCTGGATGGCATGGGAAAGGCTGAGAAAGAATTCCCCCTTCATCTCCAGGCAGCTCTCCAGCAGAACCAAGCAGGCATCAAACATCCGTGCCGTGCCGATGAAATATGAAAGAGGGATGGTGGGGGGAGAAAATGGGAATTGGACCAGTGGAAATGTTCCCTGGCTACCCTTTCTGTACATTTCAGGTTTGGTGGAGCAAAACATCTGCAGAGCTGAAATTGCAAGGTATTTCCATTCCTTCCCCAACTCCAGGTAGCCCTGTGAAGACGGCCATCTAATGCATGTCATAAAGCTTTGCTGAGACCAGGGCTTTCCCACCCAGGTACTAAAGCAGCCTTAGCACAGCACTGATGCTAACACAATTAGCACTCTTCCAGAAATGGATCCTTCGGAGACTGATGCAGACCATGGCTTCCTACAGCAAGAACTCCACAGAGCCACAAGGAATTGCGCTGACCCACCACCATTTATTATTTATACCTGGGATGGGTGCGACGCTGTGGGAACATGGAGCCAGGCACACTGCGCTGACAACCCTACAGCAGTCGCACGCTGCCGTCCATGTGCGCGAGGCTCATTCGGACAGCGGGAGGAATCCAGGCAAACCAAAGCGCTGGTGCACGTCGGGCGGTGTGTAGTGCGTGAAGACGCAGAGAAATAAGGGGATGCACAAGCAGGGCGTATCCCTGCATCCAGGGGCTTGTTCACACGCGATATGTAATTTTCACAAAGTGTTTTTTTTTTCAATGCAGAGACAACCGGGGAGTGGTTTTACTGGTTATTACCGCGCAGATAATTTTCTTTAAGGGGAAAAAAAAATAAAAAAATAAAAAAGAGAGAGATGCTTACCGGTATTTCAGCTTTGTTATGACAGCGTTCAGAACATGTTTAACTTTACGCCTCCGGTTCCTCCGAGGGCAGCGCCCCGCGCCCCGCACCTGCAGCCCCGTTCCCAGCCCCAGCGCCCGCAAGGGGGCTCGGCACCCTCGGGCCCCCCACCCCGGCACCCAGGCGCCCCCTCCCCGAGACCCTTCGCCGCAGGGCTCCTCGGTGATCCCCCAAACCCCCCGGTCCCCCCTCGCCCCCCGCAGACCCACCTCTGGCGGACATGGCCGGGCCGTGCCGGGCCGTGCCGAGCCGGGCGGGGCCGCGGCGCTCTCCGCGCTGCGTGCGCCTGTGCGGCTCGGCTGGGCTCGGCTCGCCTTGGATCGGATTGGATCGAGTGGGATCGCCTGGGATCGGGCTGCCGAGGGCAGGGCGGCGGCTGCGGGGCGGAGCGGGGCGGGCGCAGCGCTGCGGGCCCGGAGGGGCAGCGGGCGCCCCCCCGGCGGGGGCCGGGAGCTCCCCGACACGGCGAACCCGACCTCAGCGCCCCGGGAGGCTGCGGGGAAGGGCAGGCGACGGGAACCGCAGGGCTGCGGCCGAATTGAGCCGCGAGAGGTGGCTCCGCTCAGGGTCGGCACGGCCAGCAAGCAGGACCCGGGGTGCTGCGGCAGCCGGCACGGCGGTGGCACGGGGGCTGAGTCACGCTCCTCCTGCTCTGCTGTGCCACACGCAGCGCAGCTGCCTCCCAGCAGCAAGCCCACACGGTTTTCCTACGAAAGAAACGCAGCCGGAGATCCAGGAGAGGTGGCGGTGCTCGCATCCCTGCCCGCGGCTGCGTGGCGCGGTCCCCACCGCAGTGCCGGGGCGCAGCCGGCTGGTGGCTGCTTGGCAGCGCCCTGGTGTGCTCGCCCCGCTGCCAGCCGGGCAGCGAGGTATATATGTGCATGTAAAATGTGTGTGTGTACGTGTATGTGTAAGGGAGCAGAGCAGCAGCACAAGGGCGAGCACACACGTGTCCTCTCATCAGGTGATGTAGGCGCAGACAATGCGCCGGCACAGCTGTTCCTCCCATATCGCACTCAGCCAGCAATGACTTGTGGTCATACACACCTCTGTTTGCCATGCATAGCCCCACTGTCACCTGCAGCTCATACTCATTAGGTCGTTCTGTCTTCTTGCCTCTTGTTTCTGAATCCTGCGGCAGCAATGAAATAAATCGCAGGTTCGCCTCTTTCCCAGCTCCTGTAGTTGCTCAGCGAACGTTCACTCAAAAAAAGTTCCCTTCCCCATCTTCTTTTCTGAAATGAGTAATGTTTTCCACTTGGAAACAACTCAGGTTTTCTTTCTTGTACCAAAAGAGCCAAGGTTTTCCTCATGTAATATAACAGCATTTTGTGTTTTTAATTGAGTCATTTCCTATGCACTTCCTTCAACGAATTTCTGACTAGCATTATCAAGGGTTCTCCTGTGTGATGCTTAATAGATGGCTTTAAAAAAAAAAAAAAGGTTCAGGAACATGCAGAAATTAGCTTTTTAATGAAGAATTTCCTTTCTTTATGCTGCTAGGAAGTGAAAGGAGAAAGGCATTTGTACCTTGGTTTTCTATAGAACACAAAGAATTTATTCCACTTAGTGTGCAACACCTCTAAGGCTGAGCAGTTCAACAGACATGTTGATCAGAGAAAGTTAGAATGGATCAGATACAGAATCCATTTATTAAAATTAGCCATTTAGTTGGGTTTCCTAAGTAATTGAGGGTGATAGAGTTTCATTTTTCTGTCTGTCCAGCAAATCCCCTTCAAGAACTTCAAGTCCCAGGATATGGAAAATTTCTATTAAAGCTGACTAAAAGGTAGAACTCAGAAAGAGTTCAACAACTTTACAAGTTCTGTAGTAATTAGGACTTGCAAAGAGAAATTAAAATGAAGAAAAGCTGCAGTGGGAACTCAAGAGTTATCAGTTCTGGAAGCCATGCCTTCATTAGCCACAAGTACCAGCCAGGCAATCTGCATGTATGCAGCTGAATCAGCTTCTGCAACGGCTGTCTCCTGTCCTGCCAATATTTAGGGAATGTGGAAGGGAGCTGAAGAGAAAGGAGAGGGTGGGAAAGGGCGGTACAGAGAGGAGGGAAGACCTCAAACAAGATCCAGACAAGATGGGCAAGCCAATCCAAGAGTTTGCTACTGCTGCTTCTGCAAGCGGTTGTCACGTACTCTCCTGTGCACTGTGTTTTTCCTACTCTCCCCAACACATGTGCTCCTGCTCCCCTTGCTGGTCTCACCCCTATCAAACAACTTTAGCTCATTAATCACCAAGGAATTGCTCACTTCCTTGTGCTGGTGAGTTTTCTGCCAGGAAAAGGAAACAAAAAGATAGCCAAAAATGAAAACCTAAGGCTCAGATAAACACTGGAGCTTACAGAAGACAAGTGCAGAACTGCATGGCCAGCAAGAGGTGAAGAAGAACAGGCAAGCATTAGAGGGAAAAGAGATGGTCTTTTTGAGCAGCAGCAAGCTGTTGAGCTGTTCAGTTGACTGAGCCATTTCCTGACCACTTAAGAAGTCCATTAGGAGCAGTGATTGACATTGCTTTATTTCAGGCACCTAGCTGAGGTTTCTGAATTAGCCAGCTGAGAAGCAGGATCCTACCTGCTACATTTTTGTATTGACTATACAGACAGCTTAAGCTTCTAACTCAAATTAGACAGAAAAAACAAACAAACACAAACACACAAACACTAATGCCAGTGTTTTTTAAAGGTATTTGGGCTTTGAGATATGCAAACAGGCACCTGGGGATTTTTTTAGAGATTTTTTCAAAGTACTTCACTGACCAATTTTAGCAGCCAGGTGTTTTCAAATCCCCTATTGGTATATTCAGATGCTTAAATGCCCTTGAAGAGCTATGTTGTTTAAGGTCACAGAGAAAATTATGTCAGATTAAAGAACAGAACCTGCATCTTTCCAGAAAAGAACTCTAAATATTGGACTGTATTCTCTGTACAACATACCTTGCTGTCACTTGTGAATATATTCACCTGTGTGAATACATAAAAGATTCTGTTTTTCTATCCATTAAGTAAAAAGGTTTTAGACAAACTGAAAACTCTTAAAAGAATGATGATGTCCAGCTAAGTCAGCAAAGGCTGGATTTATACATTTGAACTGTGAAAACATTAATCACTTTTACTGATATAACCTAGAGTATTGGAGATCTTGGCAGCTAAGAAAAAGCCTCTAAATAAGCCCATTAATAGCTAATCTATATTGCCTTTGCACCAAAATAGCTAAGTACCCTGGAGGAACCTAGTGCACATGGGCCAGAATGAGAAATTCATTTCTGAGAATCAGGTTTGGAAAGATCAGCTAAATGTTGACTAGGATTTACTGCAGAAGAATTTCAGTATCACCTGTGTGTGCATCCTTATTGGACAGATCCCAACAAAGAGCTCGGAGTCAAAAACTTACTCAGCTTTCATCAGGTTCTCACGGGTTCACATATGAGGTATGAACCACAAATAACAGCTGTGAATCTTGACTCCTAAATCATTTTTCTTCTGATTTTGTATTCAGTGTATGCCTTCAGGAGATACAGAGACAATTACATAAACTGCCTTTGTTGTTAATTATAAATGAGAGTTTTTAGATATGTGTCAAGCAAGGGTGTTATCTCAGTGTGTGCCCTACTTTGCCCTTTATCCCTAAAGAACTTGCTGTGGCCAAACAGAATTAGATTACGCAATCAAAGCTGATTAAATGTGTAAGCATTTTTACATAGAGTATCTTTTACATTATGCTATCAATGTAGACTGTGACAGATACTTCCTTGGCCAAAGTTCACATTAGCGAAGATGAGTAACATAGCAAGAATAGGAAAGAATATTACGAATAAACCAGAATCAAAATTTCTTGCCACTCCTCTACATGAAATTTTAGGAATCATCAGCAAAAATTCACTGATAATTGCAATGACAATGAGCCAGACTCTGAGAATTGTATACATTCTGCTGTGAACAGCCCCGTTTATGTGGGACAGAAAGTCTGTACCCAAATAAATTCATTATCTAAATCAATGTGAAAGTACATCAGTGAGTAATGTGATAACTGACCATAAGACACACAGGTTTCTTCCTGTGCTCCTGGAATTCAGACATTACTGATGCTCTCTTGATTCCTGAAATGCTATTTTCTTTATCCTTACTTTCTACTCTGACCACTGTGTAGCAGAGCCCTCTGGCTGAGGAGTATAGAAGCAGACAGGACTCCCTTCAGCACACATCAAGATCATTCCTTAATCAGCTGTTGGACACAATTTGATTTGAGAGACACAAAGTACTGACTCTTTTTCAGGAACTGAATGCCTTGTCCCTTGTCAATCTGTATCAAGATAGCAACCCCTAGTCTCAAACCTGGCACTGATCAGTCCTACAGCTAAAGCACACACCTGTGTGTAGACACATGCTCTTTGACAAAGTGTCACTGAAATTGTGACTGGCTGTTTCACAGGGACTCAGGACACACCTGAGAGAGAACACAGAGCAAAATCAGCCAAAGGCACAGTCTCACTCATCTTAACAGGAGCTTGAACGAATCTCACAGTCTTCCTGAAGAGATTTGGAATAAAAGAAAAACACTTTTCTACTGTTAGCATCGGCCAGTACACCCTGGTGCATGTATTCTGTATATTTTCTTTCTCTTACCCCTTGATATCTACCAATAAATGTATCTGGTTGACCTGTGAGATATGATCTCAGGCCTAGCTGAGTTTTTCTGATGTTACTGTATTCTTTCAGGGTGCTTTTAAACAAACAAACAAACAAGGTTTAATTTAGCCAAGTGTGTGTGTGGGAGGGTATTCCCCACTTTTGAATCCGTTTGAGTTTCGGGCTGATGGTAATCCTCCGCAGCTCTCGCTTGTTTATTCCACAGACAGTGATGCTGATGGACAGAGACGCCGGCAAATGATGGAATTCTCCACCTGAGCACATCGCTGGAGTGAAATCCTGGGTCAGGCTGCCCTCTGCAGGCAGTGATCCAGCAGCAGGATGAATTGCTCTGAAACAGCTCACGGAATTGGTTAATGCTACAAAAGATTTTTATGTCTGAACAGAGAATTTCCACGTATGCTGTAGATGCGGTGGTGAATGTAATAGGGATTGGCTTCCTGTTGCTGGCTGTAACTGCTGGAGAGGCAGAAGGAAATGCAGACTGCACTGGTCTGATGGCAGCAGCCAAGCACCCCAGGTAGAAGTATTAGCTCAGTTGGACACCACCCGCAAATTTCCAGGGGACCCAGAGACTGGAGATAACAGCTTCTGAACACAGAACCAGAGAAATGAAATGGATGGAAATGCTTCTCTTCACACAGGAGCTGCCAGGCAGGAATCAAGCGCTCTGACAGTGCTCAAGGATCTAATCAGGAGCAGGTTCCTTTATATTAGGCACATTACAGACACAGGTCTGCTTACTTCAGCATTTCACAACATGAGGGCTGAATGTCAAACTAATCCAAACAGCCTGAGGCAAACGAACGTGGATGAGCAACCGAAACATTTCTGAATGACCTTAGGTCTACTACAGACTTCATTTTCTTTGCTTGTTGTCAGTAGTGCCTCCAGCTCAGCTCCTTAAAGGCCTCATCCAAGTGCAGATGCTCATTCCTACAGGGCTAATGACTCAGAAAGAATTACAAACAATCAAGCTGAACGTGCTTGCTCTGGAAATGTAGTTTGGCACAGAGGACAGCTTCTGAGCATGAAATTCTAACTGGAAGTGTTCAGATGAATTTATCTACTCTCACCTACAAATAAAATAATGCAATGGTGATGTACACAGTCACTCTTGGGAGTTACACAGAAACGCTGCAAGAATCCAGCTGGGGTTCCCTAGAAGGGCCTGTCTTTTAACACAGGTCTCTCCCTAAATTCATTGGGGTTTAGTTGATGGAGAAATGCAAAGATCATGTGGGATGTGATGGCTGCAGGGATAAATCAATGTCTGAGTAAACTCAGACTAGTCCTGTAGCTTCAAACATTATTTGAGAACCAAACTGGACAAATGAACTGCTAAAATCCAAGTAAAGGAAAGTAAAGTAGCTAAGCCCAGAAATAATGTTTCTGGTTCGTGTATTATTTCATTCTACAGAGGGTACACAGGGATATTTTTTCTCGAAAAAATATACAAAGATTCTCTCTAAACCTTGTTGCTATGTTTCTGACAGAAACGTGCAAAACAGATGAAACCAGGTCACTCGTGCCCTCTGCTACTGGACACAGCTTTATTTCAAGTCATGAAATAAACCCGTGGGAGCTACTGGCCATTTCCCTGGCTGTAACAAAATAGGTAAGTGACAAATGTCCAGGGATTTTCTCCATGGATAGCGAACACTAGAGAGCTTTGTGACACAAATAATTGGGTCTTTCTAGATAATTGGTCTATCAATAATGATTTAAAACTAATTATGAAGCCACTACAGAGTGCCTCACATAATAAATGTTAGACAGTTGCTTCAAAATTAAGACATTTTACAATGCCAACATTTAATATCAAACTCCGTGGAAGATTTCAGTTATGCCTCAGGACAAAGATATCTGAACTGATACTCCAACAAAAACTTAACTCTTAATTGTAGACTAATGTAGAAGAGAGATCTTTTGAAAGTTTATGAATATGCATAGTAGTGTGCCTGAACTATTTTGCATAGCTCCTATTTACTACCTAGATGAGCTTTTGCATATGATCAAACAGATTATCTTGATAAAATTTTAGGGATTAACAGATTATAACCCTAAATCCAAAGATATAAGTAACAGTGAAATCTTATTATGCATTAGAAAACAAACACATGCAGTCAGAGCTGATCTAAAAACTACTACGAAACCTCTTAGCCAAGCCAGGACTAAGCACCTAAATTGTCCCCTGATGTACATGCAGATTCTACTGTCTAGACTTTCCTTTCTGCAAGTACACAGGCAAATGATTGAGAGAGCCAACATATTGCAGCTGGGCTACTCAATTCTTTTTTTTTTTTTTTTCTCCAATATTTTGGGGCAAATTCCACTTTCATTTTGTTTCTACCACATTCAGACTTTTGCAGTCATTACAGTTGCAATACAGAACAAATCTGGAAATTTATTTTTAATCCCTCTGCTCCAGCTTCCAGTACCACATGAACAAGTAAACTCTCGGTCCTGTTAACCTGTAGAATTCAGTGAAATTGGCTAAACTCTAACTGATCACATTTAAGAGCATTTTATCTGGTTTCAGTAATTTATTACATGCTAATGCTTGCAGACACCATATGGCAGAACATTCATACATTTACTTATAGGGGAAAACTCAGATTATAAAGAGGTTTGCAGTGGAATAGAAATTTATTTGAGGAAAACATGATGTGTTTGGAAAATTCATGTCTCATTTCATCAGCAATGTGTACTTCTGACCTCCTTGTGGTCTCCTTTATAACCCGTTATGCAAGCTAGAGCTGTGTTGTATAAACAGTGTAACTGAGGCACAAACATAAGAAATACCCTGCTGGGCATGCATTTGTCCATCCAGCCCAGTATCCTGTCTTCAACAGTTGCAATGAGGGATGGCGTAAAGAGACTAGCAGATGTGACTGGTAATTGGTAAGACAATAGACTAATGACTAGGAGGTTTGTAGCCCATCAGAAGACAAGTGGATGCCTCTACAGTAGAAACAGATGTGCAGAACTGCAACAGGATGTGCAGGCTGGGGAATGTCTGAAACGGGATTTGAAGAAACAGTGCGTGAGCTGATTACATGGTGCTATTAGTGAAGCAGCAAGGAGGGAGGTGTTACATGCATCTTGAAGCATCAACAACCAGAAAATTCATGATGGAAAATGACAACTAATGGGAGTGTGTACGGTACTACATATACAAAACAGATTAAACTTGGAAGAAACATGGTTTGGACTTCAATCCGAGTGCATGCTATTTGGTATCCAACACACAAAAAAAATGCTTGTTTTCTATCATAAAGCCTGATATCAAAAGGGTACAGAGACGATTCAAATTTCTCTTTAGCCTTCCCCAGCAGCAGAGATCATACCAAACCTCTATCTTTTCATTCTTTATTTCATTCAAGCAGTCCCTGAAAACATAGATGTCACTCTGGTTATTATAAACACAATAGAATGCAAACATATTCTGCACTGCTCTACCAGCATGTTTTCATTCTGGGCTGCAAAACTGTACCTTCCAAATCCCGAACCTCTCTGATGCAAAAGTCCAGACTGCAGGAAGTTCTTTTGTAATGTAGACAAATATCCATTAGAGGCTGCCTGATGCCATCAATCTAAAGGGCACAGAGATTTCCAGATAGAAAGGCTAGCACATTATCTCGCTGTCTCACTCCACTTAAATTGATTTAATCTTGACAATTTCATTAATTTGCAAGAGGGAGAAGTTAGTTCCCAAAAGCTTCATCAATTAAAATAGCCTCACTTCCAAGAAGCGTATTAACTGACATTCAAGCAAAACACTAACCTACTGCATGCAGCACCCACAAAACAAATCCTACTTTAAAAATAAACAAACAACAGCAGAGCTCTACACTAAAGGAGTATTAAAATAGGTAGTAATACTTGTGTTTATTTCAGTGGAAACAGCATCAGGCATAAGCAGGTGAGGTTGTGAGAAAAGCATAAAAAAAACCATCATATTTACAATTTGCAACATATATATGCACCATTGACTGGATTCTGCACTACAAATTGAAGCTCAATATATTAGTAAAGTAAATGCAGGGCTATTTGCAGTGATTCAATTTATGTTTAATAGGCCTTGGGATAATCATGCAATTGTGGTGTTTTCTTTGTTTTCCTTACTGCAAGGCATTTTATATTGAGGAGTCCTAATAAGAAGTCACCTTTACAACCAAAAACTGAATGCCAAGCACACTGAAATGTTTTGTTTAAAGCAAAACAAACAAAAACTCAACCCTGTTTTTATGTACATCTGGCACTCTTAGAATAATAAGAGGCCCTCAAGCATTAAAAAACCATTGCCTCACCATCTGCGAAGAGGTGACTTGTGATTTCATAAATTGTGAACTACACTTAGCAATGCTCTCAGTTATAAAACTGTCAGCTTTTATATCTTCATGATACTTTACTGTTTCTTTATTCATTTTGCTGCCCAGACACACCCAAAAAACATTTTTGCGAAAACAAATGGATTGCAAAGAGCATTTGAAATTACCGTGTTCTCTTAGACACCTTAATCAAGCATACGTGTCTTAAATCCACATTTTCTTCACAAACTATGCAGGCTCCAAATAGGGAATCTATAATGAGAGAACAGGAGGGTCCTCATTAACATGGTAAACATCCCCACATATGCGGAAGAACAGCTATACCACTACTCAGTCCACTTTCTGACAACATATTTGCATTCAAACCTACAACTTATCATTTATTTTATTTGCTTTAATGAAAGAGCTTAATCCTGCAATATAAACCACATAAGCAGGGTGGATGTATCCTCTGAACTGTAGTTACAGTATTAAAATGCAAATATATATATATATTCAAATTAATAATAATATTAGGCATAATCTGTGTGCATTGCAAAACCATACAAAACACTTAAATGCATCTGAATGCATCTAGCTTTGCCTTCTAGAGTATTCTTAAAAAAATCTAAGGTTTTTTTATATCGTACAATATAAAAACCTTCTAAATGCAACACCCATGTAGTTGCTAATTACCTAAACACAGAGAGAGGACAGATGTTTCATCATATGACTACTCACATAGAAAAATTTATATTTCCTAAAAGTATCTACAGAATATAACTCGACAAACTCACAATAAGCAAAATTGTTTAAAAAACATAATTACCTTCTAAAATTACGTTATGTGATATATATAGGTTTTGAGAAGGAAATAGCTAGCTCTGGTCCTTAGCCACTTCAGCAAAGGTGTCCATGTACAACTGTACAACTGCTATTTATACAGTACTTGGACTGCATCTCTCTGGGCCTGCAAAGTAGTAACAACAATTAGTCCAGCAGAATCATTAGTAAAACTTCATCACACAATCAGTCATAGACAAACTTCACAAATGACACAATATAAAATACAGCAGTTACATAGTAGCTTTGTGTTCTCTTTTGATTCACCTCTCTTTACTTGTTCCTGGCATATGAAAATTGGTGTTCATTAGCCTCCAGAAATTAACGAGAAAGTTTTGCCCCATTTGAATGACAGGTGCCAGCCCTGTCACCTTCCCAACATTTCATTCTGCTCCCCCAGTGCCAAATCAGTGCTGTTCCCCCACTGCCATTTGCCCAGTGCCCAAACACTACGCTGTGAGCTGTAGCTGTTCCCAAACCATCACACTGCCCACCAGCTGCTCCTGTAACCTTTGCCTGTCTGCCTTACCTCTGCTTTTCTAGCAGCAAGGGAAAATGGGAAGAGTGGTCTTTTTTCTCAAAGTATTGGGCTTGGGAGTGAAGTAAAGCCCCCTTGGTCTTGTTCAAAAGGAGGGGGATGCGTACCATCAGTATTGTGGGGAAAAAAATCAGCAGTGAAACAGGTAAGTTACACGGTGCCCTAAGCCCTTTCATATTAGCCCTACAAGCACCCCAGCTGGCCAGGACCACGCCACCAGCCCAGCCCAGCCTCTCACCCTCTCTGCCTTTCTCTGCTGCAGCATTTCAGGTGCCGGCCCCCAAGCACCCCTGCAACCACCACAACCCAGCGGCAGCTTTTGGGGCCCGCGGGCAGGGAGGGCGGCGGAGCGGGTGGCGGCCCCTGCAGGCGGCGGCGGAGTCGGAGCCCCGGCAGTGTCAGTGCCACGGTGTCGGCGGCCGCCGAGCGAGAAAGGCAGCGAGGAGCCTGGCCCCGTCCCCGCGGCCGGGCCGCCGCATGCAGCCCTCACCCTGGAGCGGCGGCGGCGGATCGAGGAGCTGTCGCGGGCGTCCCGGCAGCGGCTGCTGCAGTCTCGGGACAGGATGTTCTCCAAGTTCACCTCCATCCTGCAGCACGCCGTGGAGGCGGTAAGGCCGCCGGCGAGCCCTGCCACGCAACGCCGGGGATCCGAGCGGGGCCTAGCGGCCGGCAGGGCCGACACGGGGATGGCCGGGGCGGGGGGACCCGGCTCGGTTCAACCGGGCTCGGTTCAGCCCAGCCCGGCTCAGCCCGGCTCGGCTCCCTCCCTCCTTCCCTGCCGTGGCCCCGCTGCTCCCGGCTCGCCCCCTGCTGCAGGGCAGGGAAGCGGAGGCCGAGCTGCCCGGGCACGGCGGGGCAGGGCCGGCCCCTGCCCAAGGCTCGGAGCCCCGGAGGGTTCCCGGGGGTTCCCTGGGGGGTCCCTGGGGGGTCTTTGGGGGGCAGCGGGGTGCGTCCTGCCGGACCCTTGTGTCCCGGTGATAACCAGGCAGGCCCTTGGTTGTAATCGTGTTTTTCAACGGAGCAAAATAAAAGGAGGAAAATTCAGGAAACTCCTCGGGATTGTGTTATTGTTGGTGGTGTTGTCGTGGCCTGTGAACCAGCTCCGGTGCTTTTGTGCGGTGTAGGCGCTCCCGGAAAGCGCCTGCTCGTTGCTGGTGGGTTTATTAACGGGGTAGGACGGGAGAGCAGGGTGAGGTGCCCGGCGTTGGGGTGCGCTTGGATAAACCTCATCGCGGAGCCCAAAACGTCCTGGGCTGGGGAGGAGAGAGCCCCTTGGTGGGGCTGCCGCTGTGGTAGGCCGCTTTTGGCTGCCTTCGGCGATCAGCACCAGCTTCTGCAGCGGGCCAAGGCATCTGCAAGGCTGGGTTTGAAGAGAGGCGTCTTGGGTCAGGTGTCACACGCTGGAGGTGAAATGCTGCTGGGGCATACGCAGAAAGTGCCAAAGGGAAATGCAGAGTGGTTGGGGAAAGAAGAGCTGCCATGGGAAATCGTGTCTCGTGTGGGGAGCACCTTTGTACATTAATGCATTTTTCATGCTGCAAATGCTGTATTAATTGCATTGATTAATAGGGTCTCCATCCTAGTTGGCCCTGTTGGTGGCAGAGGGCAGCTGGAAAGAAAGGTAATGATGAAAGTACTTACTTGAAAACTCTGTATGATCACGTAATGGTCACCTTCAACAGACAGTGCTCTCATTGGAAGGCATACAGAAATTAGTGGTTGCCTAACTAAAGAAATCCTGTTATGGTGAGCTGTGCCACTTTTTGAATAGGAAAGGGTGACTAAGTGAGGCTAGAGGGGAGGAAAAGTTATTTTTTCAGGCTTAATGATTCAACTTATCGAAGTTAATCCTAGAAGAATCTTTACGTCATTGGTGGTGCACCAAAATAACATCAAAATAAACAAAGAGAACTGCATTTATATGAGATCCATACTATACTAGGAAAAATCAGGAAGCTGAATGGAAAAATAGTAGGGACTAGACTGTCTTTTCTAATTTACGGAAGAAAACACACAGGCTGGTAAACGTCACTTTGTGAGTGGCCTCTGTGAAGCAACTTTCTGCGTGTTATTGCTCAATGGTGTTGTCGCTTTTAGAACTGGATCATCCTGCTCATACCACTGTGGTGGACCTCCTGGTAGCAGACACCGTGCTGAACTGTGTTTGTGGGGTTGTGACAAATATTGAGCACCCCGTGTTAGGAATGAAAGATGGGACCACAAAAGCAAGAAGACAGTAAGAATGCTTTTTCGCTTTAGTTAGGAAGTTTGACCCAGCAATTCCAACACAGGGCAAAGAAATAGAAACTTTAACCAGTGTTGGGGCTGACTGCTGCTTCAGCTCTGAATAGCAGCAACAAAGCTGTGAACTAAGAAGTTAACAGTCATTCCTCCTGCATATCACTCACTGCTGCTCTCCTGCCTCACTCAGGGTCTAGAGGCCTACAGTTAGACACGTATTTAAATAGTAAGAGTTGATTTTTATTAGATAATAGTTGTTATCTTACCCTGAGCGTGCTATCTCTCCACGCTATGACAAGGCATTCCGAAGGTTGGCAGTGTAATGTGCATCGAGCATTTACTTTTTGCTTGTTATGAGTGTTCTGCTCTTTAATTGACTCCCTTTGTGACAGGACTGTGATGAGGCATGAGTCAGGGAGCAGTTGCTTTTTATTAAGGCTTTTTTATCTCAAAACTTTCAGTCTTTTCTCCCTGAATTGTCCAAGTGTGGGGTAGCTCTTTATTCCTGTTTTTCACCACTGCTGAATCCTAATTGTTGCCACCTTTTATCACATCTCAGTCCTGACACTATCTTAGGTATTTTTCCTTTTTTTGGACTTCTGTGCAGCAGATGAGTAAGCACCATCCTGGTATTATCCTGACAATAAATAGGGATAGGTGGGTTGGTGAGAGTGGTGGAGGGCACTGAGGTCTTTGTTCTGTTACCTTCCGTCAGGGCAGAGTAGAAGTGTTGCTACTTAGTGGGGCTACTATTAATGAATCTGTGACAGTTTCTGTATGCCTTCTCAGCGAGATGTTTTCTTTTTGCTGTTTATTACTGGTACGCTTCTATCCCCAAAGTATTCCAGGAGTTTTAAATTCTCAGTAAGAAACAAAATACAGTGTAAATAAAGCTGCAAGTTAGGCTTCTTCTTTTTTTTTTTTTTTTCCCTCTTATCTCGTGTTCTTCACTTTTGTTTCCGTAGAGCAAACAGCTTGTCTGTAAAGGGGTCACTCGGTTTTCAAAGGACTTTTGTTTGTGTTGGATTTGGTCTTTCATGAGATGTTTTGTCTTAATAGTGAACTTGAAAGGATGTGTTTGAGCTCTGTATCTTGAGCAGGAAAACTATGATTTGGGTTGTTTTGAATTTCGCATCTTTCTGTCAAACAACATCGTTTGTTTCACTCTGTTGGTCACTTGCTACAGATTACTCCAACATCATTAGCTGCACAGCTACGCAGAACAATATTTATTCTTCTTTATTCTTCTTGAACCCACTTTATTTGATATAATGAGCTCACATTACTGATTGTTTTAACATTGTGCTGCTGGTAACAAATTATAATGACAAAAATTAATGCACTTGAAGGCATGTGCAGTCTTAATTTTGTACTTGAAAGCAGCGGCCATTATAAACTCTGGGCTTTCATCAGCTGAGAAAATAAAGTGAACCTTCAAGCGTTAATCTTTTTTTTTTGGACTTTCCCTAAGGGCAAGCATTCAGATTAGTGAGATTGAAGAAAAACATCGAGTGGCTGCTGTACTTTTCCGTGTTTCAGTCAGGGGAGTGTGCATGCACTTGTACGCACTTCCCCTCCGCTTCTCTTTGACCCAGCTTCCGCTTTCCCTTTACCCTCCCATCTGACCAGCCAGAAGCTGCTGCTCTTTTACACACTGTTTGCTTTGCTGGGTGGATTTGTCCAAAAAAATATTGAGGGATATCACCAATTTTGCTTCTTCCCACCCTTTCATTATTGAATTACACTTTGAAAAGCATACATGCAAATATGACAATGATTTTTAAACGCCCAAAGGAGTTGCTATTAAAACTGAATATTTATAGGTTTAATTGTTCTTGATTTCATTGTTCGTTTTTTTTTTTCTTTTTTTTTTTTTTTTCTTGCCTAGACACTAATTCTGTATAGTTTTGAAAGCTACGTGGACTTGTGCTTTGGACAGATTTTATAACCGAAAGACTGAAGCTCTGGTCAAAGATCTATAGATCTTCTGGGAGCAGCACTTTCTCTGGAAAGAGTGGGGTTTGATCTTTACTAATGTAGTGTCACCAGAACGATAGGGCAGCGTGTGCTAAGTTTAGCTGCTAAATGAGAACACTCATTCACTCACTCCCAGGAAGCTCGACTGCTGGAGCTGGGGACCAGATGGAACAGCTAATCGCTGTCTGCTCTAATGGGCTGCTTTTTAGTGGTGTTCAGTGAGTTTTGGCGATTTTGATATACCAACACCCACACTGCAGTCTTTAAGAAGTTTCTTCCACAGAGGAGGAGGGCTTTAAATTGAGATTAGGAAAGGAATTGAGAGCTCATAATTAGTAAGGACATCAGTATCTACATCAAAGTGAACTAATATAACTGCAATGAGGAACTGCACTTTTAAAGTAATTCTTTCAAATTAGACAAATAGTGGTAATCAGAGGCCTTCATAATCAATTTTGTTTTGCTTCAGGAACTGGCATACAAATAAGCATACTTTTAGGAAGGAATGATTACTCAGATTAGCAACTGTAACATATTCCATCTCGGCTGGTAGCGAGTAAATCCTCCTGGAGCAGAAACTACAACTTCATACTGGAATTACCTGACTTAGTAAGGGTAAAGCATGCCAACCAAGTGTTAGGGAGCTTACAGTTTTCCAGTGCTTCCCAGTGCTGGGCTTTGTCTGTGTGTAAGTTGAGATCTTAGTTTTTGTCGTTACCTTGGTTTTGTGTCTGAGTAACTGAGATAAGATTTTTTTTTTCTTTTTTTGGCAGTAAAACACATACCTCAGAATAATATGTAGCACTGCTGGAGTTACATCTCTCTTAAATGTTCCCTGGAACAGCTGTGCTGTAAAAATCATGTTTATACTAGGTCCATCCTCAGTGGGAAGACCAATTTGGGGGTAGGAGGGTTAAAATACTTTAACCAAACAAGTAAATAAATATATTTTTTTAATTATTTATTTATTGTTAGGGGTTGCTGAGTCAGGTAGCCCAGTGCAGGTGAGGAT